TATATATATATATATATATATATATATATATATATATATATTCTTACTTTTCTCCTTACATTTTGGGAGGTTTGTTACAAAATGATAGAAGCATTTATTTCGTGTATAGTTCTAATTATGTAACGGATGAATTAAGGAAGAAAAGAGTTAGAAGAAAGTGATAATCACTTGTAATTAGCAATTTAATTACATTAAACATGTTTTTGCTTCTTACTAATTAAGATTTTGTGTATACGCTTGTGTTTAATTAATCTTTATAAGAAAAAGTGTTATAACATATTAACTTTTATCTTTAGATCGATTGACTTATTTAATTATTACTCCCTCCGACCTCATTTTATATATTAGTTGTTTACTTTCTTATTTGCATTACCCTTAAGCAATCATATTATTACTGAATTACCCCTTAATGAACTATTGTAAAACTTAAAAAAATTGTTTACACTTTAGAAAAAGAAATAATTGTAATTACGGTGAAGGGAAAAAAAATTGATTAATACTATTTTGATTTTATAAATTGATAGATAATTTTTTGTAGTAAAATGAACAACTGATATGAGATGAAGGAAAAATTGAGTTTAATTGACATACTCTATCGGTGTATAGAAATTTACACAAGTAAATACTTTTACTTCTTGCTATAACATGTCTTAATTTTAAAATTATAAATTACACATGTTAACAGAAGTTATATATATTATATATAAATATATTTTAGATGATCTGATAATATAATTATATTTTTTTGCACTAATAATATGTATAGCTTAAAACTCTTAAATGCTAAATAAAATATCAAGCATAGTGTGGAAAAATAACAAATTAATGGGAGAGGCAATATTTGAATCAAGATGTCATATCCAACTCAAAACTTCACTATATTTATGAGTTTTTGGTAATATTCTCTACTTACACTCATTAATCAAAGAATTTCCATAATTTTTTAAATTTTTTTTATATTATACATTCCATTATATTACTAGTGGTTTTTATCATTCAATCTTTATTTGAAAAAATCCATCTTTTTGTTTGTTGGTAGAAATTGATATTATTATTCGTTTTCCTTGTTTTAAGTCATGTGAATCTATATGATTGAAGACCGAGTTTGAGAAAAAAAAAAGATTTTTTAGTGTTAAAGATGTAATTATATTTGTGTGTAAAACTTTTAATCTTTAACGTGTCATAATGTGTGAATGACATTGTTCCAGATTTAGAACGGATTGTTCTTTTTTCAAATGGTGGCCAAGTCATGAATTTCACAAAGGGTGTTCATGAATAGAAAATGAAAAAAAAACATTTGCGAGCACTGTCTCATTCCAAGCGTCTGAAATCACTAGGCCACAACAACTTATTTGCGTCAAGAGTGTCCACAATATGTTATTTAATAATTTCGTGTATCATTTTTACTTGCATACACTCTGACCACCACGTAGCTACGTCACTGATCAGTCAGTCAGTGCGTACAACTTAAACTCTTATATTTTTCCATATTTCTTTGAATTTTTTTGCAGGATAATGAGAAGAAAAACATCTTAGCTGTCCAAACACTAAGAAACACAATAATGGGAGCAACCTTAATGGCTACAACATCAATCCTTTTATGTTCTGGTCTTGCAGCTGTAATAAGCAGCACTTATAGTGTTAAACAACCACTAAATGATGCAATTTATGGTGCACATGGTGAATTCATAGTGGCACTAAAATATGTTACACTTTTACTAATCTTTCTATTCTCATTTCTGTGTCACACATTGTCAATTAGGTTTATTAACCAAGTCAATTTCTTAATCAATTGTCCACAAGACAATTTGGGAATTGTGAGTCCAGAGTATGTGTCTGAGTTGTTAGAAAAAGGATTTGGTTTGAACACTGTGGGGAATAGGTTGTTTTATGCAGCTTTGCCACTTTTACTTTGGATATTTGGTCCTGTTTTAGTGTTCTTGTGTTTTATTACTATGGTACCTATGTTTTATAATCTTGATTTTGTGTGTTGTAATCAAGAAAAAGGGAAAATAGAGTACACTTGTGAGAATGGGAGTGATCAATTTGTGGGTGTGTAAGAAATGTATCATATACTATATGTATTATTATTATTATTATCAATATATAAATATATAATTGAACTTTATCCATTTTGTATTTGAGTTATATATGAGTTATCCCCTATTTATTTTAATGATTAATGATGATGAATCTTATATTAGATGTCTGAATATTAAGATGTTGTATTCAGAATATTTGATTAGTGTATATTGTTTTCTCAATATTTGACGGGAGTAGTATAGGGTGGGGGTGTGGAAAGACAAATAAAGGCAAAGTTAAAGTGTGTTTTAAATCGTTTTTTCTAAGATAACATACTAAATTAAGTCAATACTGTATAACGAAGTACTATATGATTATTACTGATGATGATGACTAACGATTGGGGTTATAAGTGTCGATTGGTGGTGATGATAGGTAGCGCTGTGAGCTAATTGTGGTTGTAGCTAGTGGTGACAATAGTAGTGGTTGATTATGACAGGTGGTGATGGTGGATGATAGTGATAGTTAATAGTGATAACGATGATTCGCTAATGAAGGTTTGACGATATATACTAATGATTGATGGTGGTGATTGTCGATAATAATCGGTGATCGGTGAATAATTCATGGACACTTATTTTGGTGATTGGGAAAATTTGGAAATAGTGAGTCCATAATATGTATTTGGATTTTAATTTGGGCCTGTCTTTTGGTCTTCTTGTGTTTTATTATTGATGATATTGGATACATAAAGAAATTTATATCCTAATAGCTTGTGGAATTTTTTTTTAACCAAACATAATATATAATTTCAAACATAATAAAAGTTTACTTCAATTGATGTTAATGATTACATTAAACTAATAGATATATAATATATATTTTATATATGCATGTTATCACTTTCTTAATATATAATTAGAAGAGAAAAATAATCGAAAAACAATCTAAAGATCTAATCAGATCGATCATCAACAGATTAACATTGGATAATGGATATAATCAGACTTTTCTATAATAGCTATTTTTAATAATAATTATATTTTCTATGAAACTAATATTTCATATTATCATAGTACGTTATACTATACTTTTTTTTGTAACAATATGTTATTATAACTATTAAAAATATTAAAGTAATATACGATATTACAGAGAGGTTTGACTATAACACTATTTGTTGGACCATTGCCCTATAGAATTGTGGATTTTTTTTGAAGTTTGGACACCACATGTTATGTTTATTGATAGCTAACCCAAAAAAAAAATATCATGTGCAATGCCATCAATTTTTGTACTCCTTTTTTTTTTATTGGTAATCGAGTATTTTTTCTCTTTTTATCGATAGTGTTGAATTTTAGTATGAAATATCTATGACTTTAATTACTATTAGTATATCTTTCAATTCGATTATTACTGTTAATTCTTTTTTTTTCATTAATGTTTTCATCATCGCGTTTGACTTTTATATTTGTTTCAAACTCATACGAAAAAATAATTTCCTTCAAGAGAATAGAAGTGAAGTATATATACTCTGTACATATCATCCCCTTTATACTGAATATATATGTTATTGTATTTATCCTTCAAGAGTCTATACTTTTAGCAGTAGTCTATATTAAATTTTTTTATTTATGACATAATATATTAATGTACATTTTTGACTTGACTTCAACTGATATTTATGAGTTATATCATAATTTGTATATTACGTATATTATGTCATGTATGAACACACGTATCTAGTTGTATACGCTTAAAAATTAAAAGATATTAATAATAATTGAAGCTAAATTAAATAATACGTTTATGCATCATGCATTTATTTATATTAAGATATTTAAAATCAATTGGGCATCTTGTTTTCAATTTCATAAAATTTAACTCACTCATATCACCCTCATTAATTTATGGTCCCAAAACGAGAAAAACAAGAATTTGTCTAAATTCAATGAACTTTTTTTTTTTATAAAAAAAATAAATTACTTTTTCCCTTTTATTTTCATAATAATTTTATGAAATTGAATTAACTTTTGTGGACTCAAAAAGGTAAGGTTTATATTTGTAATGTTCTTTCATATCATGCAAAATGCCATCAACATATGTACAATTTTGTTGACTAAATCAAATGTCAAAAGAGTGGAAAATTGAAAAAGTAAATTTAAAATAAAATATGATGAGAAGTACATAGGAAAAATTATAATATTATTTACACATGCTAGGCATGACTTTGATATTTTGATTGAAATTAATTAGGTGTAATTGGTTTCTTTGGCATGACCTTAGATTAAGTGTAGTTAGGTGAAAATTGGATTTCGATGACATATGAACTATATATCGTGTAATTTTATAAAATAAGTTCGAAAAAAATAATATTTACATAAATTTTACTTTTGCTGTCAGAGTAAAGAAATTATTTCAGAAAATAAAAAAAATTCTCAATTCAAATAACACAATATTACAAATGAAATAAAATGTCTTTTTACATAAATAAAGTATACTATATATTTTTCCAAATGGTGCAATAGCACTATCATGATTCATATACTCTTTAATTTATTCCATTTTATTAAAAAATCAAGAAGAATATTTAAAAAGTCAATAGGAATTTTCTCTTATTTTATATTATGGAAAACACATTAAAAATATATTCTCATACAACATTGATGTGATAACTCTAGTTATATTTATGAAAAAAAATCTTTCATAGGAAGTTATGCCTTCTTTTATATTCTTAGGCAATATAAATTTAAATTAATTCTAACTCTAATATATTAAATTGTTCAATTAAAATAGATCGTACTTTAAATCATTAATATAAAAAAAAAAATCTCAATTTTTTGAATTTCAAATCTAAATTATAAGGCGTGCAAGTTTTCAGAATTATTATCAACTATTTATTACTCCAAAAAGACAACGATTAATAGTTAACGTATGTTTCGATAAATAATTAGTAATAGTTCAGTTAGAAAACTCGCGCACAACCTCTCGATAAGAATATATTGGAGTCTATAAATAGTTCCATTCTCTTCTTTCATAAACCACAGACACAAAGAGAGAGATATAGAGAGAGAAAAATTACCCACATTGCTCTGTCTTTCTCTCTCCTCAATTCCATATTTAATTTGCCTATTTCAAAACCCTCATCAAATTTCATTTTCCTCTAAAGAATTTGTGGAGCTAAAGGTGAAATTTTTGTGAAAGGCATTGAATTTTCATTGATTTGTGAACCTAACAACATTGTATTGGTAAGTATTTTTTATCGATTTTTCTAATTTTTTTTGGGTATTTTTAGAGTTTTTTTTTAATCTGGGTGTTCATCATTTTTTTTAGCAATTATATGGATCCCATGCTTCATTATGTTGTACATTGAGCTGCCAAACTTGTACTGTTCTCTTATTGTTAACCTTCTTATTGCCAATGTAAACTGATTTGACTTTTTTTTTTGTGTGCCTTGCAATATGTGACAACAAAAAAAAAACATGACGTAAGGGTTCGTTTAATTCGCAGACTAAATTATTCTAAAATTATGTAATTTGTGGACTAATTTATTTCTACTCAGGAGACGGGATAAAATAATTTCAAGTTGGATGAGATAACGTGGGATATGATAATTGATTGTGATAGTGCACCTTAGGATGGGATAGATAAAGTTATCGTATGGATCGAGATATACTAATCTCGTCATTTGAACTCAAATGGTGGGATAAGTAATCCCAGAACTAATTAGTACCTCTAACCGTGGCATTTTATGTCGTATTTTGTTCTAATTTGTAATTTTTAACCGATAATAACCCCAATAACGTACTCAGTGTAATCTCATAAGTAGAGGTCTGGAGAGGGTAGAGTGGATGCTGACCTTACCCCTACCTTGGGAGGTAGATAGACTATCTGTGATAGATCCTCGACTCAAGGAGAAGCATATCAAAGCAGTTCGGAAAAGAAATGACCATGATAAATAATAGGGAAAGAATGAGAATGAACATATAGACTATTTAATAGTAAGATAATTGAAGTAGAAGAAACAATAAACAGAAATCGAAGAACAAGAAACTGCAAGAGTAATACTACTACTACTACTATCCTTCGGGGTGGCCCAGTGGTTTGGGCTTGAGACTTCCATGTTGGAGGTCTCAAGTTTGAAACGGGTTTTGACTTCTGGGTCGAGCTTGTTGCTCCGGGCTTGCCTAGTGCGGGTTACCTCTCCTATGAGGTTAGCGAGCTTATCGCATAGGAGGGGGTTTTTACCCTGTGCGCACCCAAAGGGTAGCGGCCGTGGGTTTACGTTGTCATCGAAAAAATAAATAAATACTACTACTACTACATGTATGAGATAAAAAGCTAGACAATCACGACTACCTACTATCCTTCTATCATAACTCGTGTCCAATCTTTAATTCTTCACCATTTACAGAAATTCATGTATGTTTCTTTAGCCTGATTGGAGAAAAAGTATATTTTTAATCGATTTTATGGTTAAAAATGCAGATATTAACTAGAGGAAGATTCAGAAACATGGTGTTTTGGATTTTTGGCTATGGGTCATTGGTATGGAACCCTGGATTTGAGTATGATGAGAAATTGATTGGATACATAAAGGATTATAGGCGTGTGTTTGATCTCGGTATGTTCTTATTGATCCTTCATAATTGTTGAGTTTTGTTTGTCTAAAGTATAAAATACTAACTTTTTTGTGATTGTTGTTGAATGTTGAATACATCAATCATCAGCTTGCATTGATCATAGAGGTACACCTGAAAAACCTGCAAGAACCTGCACTTTGGATGAAAGCAAAGGGGCCATTTGTGTAAGTGGACATTAACATCTATTACCTTCTTCAATATTGACCACTTTTTACGAGTTCCATATCTGAACTATCAGGTGTTCGCGTTTCCTACCTGAGCTATCTCTAAAAAACACACCTCAAAGTTGACTAGACAAAGTGTTTGAATGTGATCTCCGAAAGGAGCATGACAATTTAAACTGCCTATAAAATTTCGTCAACATGGTATTTGACTCATTTCTTTCGAGTTGTGTTTTGTTTAGGAAGGAAACACAAATACATGATGGTTAAAGTAAGAACTCGCAAAAACGTGATACTTCAAAGTGTGTTTTTGACCATTTATCTCCTAGTGTAACTCTTTCTCCATGTTCTAGCTAATTTTCATAATTAGTTGTAGCAGTTATTTGCAAGCGACTATAGTTATCTTTTAGTTGACCTGATTTCGTGTACACTCTAAAAGTTAATGTTTTTATCGATTCATAGCCGTTTCCACAACATAATTTGACTCATCTCTGCCTTTTCTTTTAGTGGGGTGCTGCTTATTGTGTGAGAGGAGGACCTGAAAAAGAGGAGGAGGCAATGGAGGTACTGTAACTCCTCTATAATGTTTTCACAGTAAATGTTTGTGATTCGAGCAGACTATGTCGTCTCTGGGGACCTAGCGTCACAGTTTTATTACATATCCTTTCATCAATATATCACATTTACTCATCGAAGTTTGAAACATTGTTAGGAGTTGATCCTGAAAGTTTATTTTTCCGCTGTACAGTATTTAGAAAGAAGAGAGTGCGAGTATGATAGCAAGACGTTGGTGGACTTCTTCACTGTAAGTCGATAACCTTTGAAGTCTAGTAAAAACTCTGCTACAAAAGGGGGAATGACATAGATTGTGTACTTGGCCTTCTTTCTATTTCAGGAAGAAGACTCCTTACATCCTGCCTTAACTGGAGTGATAGTGTAAGTTCTATGGTTGCTATTCTATTTGCATTTCTCGGTAACGGTGGGGTTTGGGAAGGGTAGAGTATACACAAATCTTAACCCTACCTCGTTATTGTGTTCAATGATTGTTGAGTTGATTCAAAAATCTATTTTTTTAGGTTTACGTCCACTCCTGACAAAGTAAATAACAAGTACTATCTCGGTCCTGCTCCACTAGAAGAGATGGCTAGGTGAGGATCATGGTTCTGTTATCTTATCTTTGCTCTGAGATTGAACGTTTTCAACTTATCTTAACGTTCCATATCCATTTTCAGCCAAATTGCTACTGCCTCTGGTCCCTGTGGAAATAACCAGGACTACATATTCAAAATGGAGAAGGCTTTACATGACATCAGTCACGAAGACGACTACATCACAGAGCTAGCAAATGAAGTGCGCAAAGTTCTTGGGATCACAGTGTCTGTCCCAATGGAGAAGAAGTTACTTAGTCCTTCCCAAACTCCACTCAAATCCCATATTTCCCCTGTGAAAATCCTCCCGTTGTCGGAAGCTATAGCTGCTGTTGCTGCAGACTCTTGACAAAGAAAATGATCTAGATATCTTTAGGAGGATGATGTATCCCTTGTGTTTTTTCCTTTTCCTCTAAACTTAGACTAGAATTTGGGGGTGGGGTGGGGGTAGGATAATGAGTTGAGTTGACATACTAACCAACCAGATGACTTTGTGTGGCCAGTTTGAACATGGATTCTTGAGTTATTATGAGCACTTTTTGATGAAATCTGATTAGTAGCTTACATGTTGAAAATACATGATCAATTTATTTTATAGTATATGAGTATATGAGAAGATTGTTTTACATGAATTAAGATGAGCCTTACTTTTCCTTTTGAAGGTTGACAATAATCCTTTCTCTTTTTCATGTTAAAGATTTGCAAAACTTACCATATGATAAATGACAATAGGAGAAACAAAATAACTTCAAAAAATGATAGCTTTGTGTTACAAGATAGTTTGGCAAATGTTTCAAATGAAAAAATATCTAATCATATTTGTCTAACTTTGTAAGACTCAAAAAGGATAATTAGACAAAACCTTACTTCATTCATTTGGAAATGGTGAAGAGGGCATGGTGAATTAGATCATTGTGGTGGATACAATATGTCTGGGCCAAGCTCGTCAACATTCCAACGTTAGATTTGAACAGGCAAACCTTAACTAGTAGGCGTGGCAAGACACACCATCACGATAGAGGTACCATCATCTGGTTTTGCAATCCACATGTCACGACCTCAACACTTCTAAGATCTACGAATGAGGTCCCTCTCACTTTTTTCAACCACCACCTCCTCTTTTTATTTTATTTTGATAACTGTGGTGTTTGGGCTAGCTTGCGAGAGCCTCAACTAATTCCATGGCAACCACCTCCGCCTCGTTAGGGTGGTTAGGCACATCCTCTATGTACGAGGTCATCCTCAAAAAGGTATTCCAAACCTGAGTTTAGCTGCTTTGATGGTGGTTGAATGAAATTCGGAAGTCATTCCAATTCCAAGAAATAGTTCAATGTCTAGTGATGGTATTTCTGTCCTTTAAGAATGGTCCACCCTCTGTCAATATATTCAGAACAACGTATCGATTAGGTTTCTGGAAGTTCATGTATGAACATGATAGATAAACAATGAGATTTGTGACAAAAAGATTAATATGCCAAGACACTATGGACATAAATGGATGAAAGGAACCTATAAGGAAGGTAAAGGAGGATTAGGTGGCTAGCCATTGTTAGCACAGTATCCGCCAAAGTTGTAGAATACATGTCAGTGAATCTCGTTTCCAAGAAGCTTTTGCTTGACTAAAATAATACTCTCTCTAATACGGAGAGGGACAGAGGATATTGTTTGCTTTTTAGTTCGAAAGACTAATGAGCACAGAGCAACTAGGACGCAAGACGCATGAATACATCAAGTTGTGAAACTATATTCTCAACACCAGCATAAATGAGGGACCGAGGGGTTAGTGGCACCAGCACTTCAAAAGAATAAAAGTTTGTTCCAGTCTCTTACCTGTAAAGTTGTTCTATCAGTACAACTAACGCAATCTCATGATTCAAGACTAAGGATGACAGTTTGACTGATACGTTAGCTCTCTCTCGCAAATGTCTACCATGTCCATAAGGTCCACCTATGCAAAAGAGTAAGGTTGATGCTCCCTACAAGACAGAGGACACAAATCATTCAAAAATTCTAGTATCTATTTTTTTTTCCGTGTAGATCCCCTTCCCAGTGATGACTTTAAAATCTGCAAGGTCATTTCATGATAGATGATACCAGGACCAAAAGACTCTGCAATAATGAACCATAACTCACCTTGTTTCCAGCCTCTCCGATTAAAGAAGCCATCTGCTCGGATCCAACATCATGACCACGCTCATCCAACATTACAACCTGGTTTTAAACAGATTAGGACGGTGAGAGGGTAATTTTTATTTTCTAATTACTTCTGAATGCTTACCCATTCATCAGGCCTGATGAGGCTCATAACAGCAATGTCCTCATGTTCAATTTGAGCCACTACGTCACTGTTTCAAATGAAAATAACAAGCTTTAAAAATTAACACTTTCGGGACTTATATCCCATCCATAATATGTAAAACACATTGTCACGGATTCCACTAGGGACATTGGGATATCTGTAAAGTAAACAACTCTATTTCAATACACAAGCATTTCTAAGATTTTGAGCTGAAGGTCTATTGGAAACAACCTCTCTACCCTTCCCCACTTGTAGGATTGCACTGGGTATATTATTGTTGGATCATTTCTGGGATGAAATTAACCAGAGAACATGGTCAGTGAGAATACATATAGCCGACTCGACTTGTTTGAGATAATTGACACATAGTTGTTATTTTGTTAGAAGGTACACTTTTTGATGACCGTCACACACCTCGACAGATACCTATCACCTCCCAACAACAAGACATACCAGGTAACTCCGTCAATCCCTTCAACATCTCAATCCCTAAGTAAAATTACCATTACCATTACATCTAGTGTTCAACCAAACACTAAAACTCACAATTTTCAGCCATTTCCAATAAAAATACACCAAATCCACCCGAAAAAATCGACAATATTTCAACATACCGCGCATTTTTGGGATTAGATTTTATTCGAACATCATCAACGCTACAATAATTCCTGAGCTTCTTCATATACTCATCAACTATAAACTGCACTCCTTTCGACCTATTCTTCCCCACAGTTAATATGCGTATAGGTATTGCTCTCTATATCCCAAAAAAAAAATACAAATTACAAGCAACTGTTACACTTATAAGTTGTTTGATTTAGCTGAATTAAGTAAAATTAGAGAGAAATTAAGCAACTTTACCACTGATTGGGCAGCAAATTTGGACTGTTGCTGCTTCCCTGAAGAAATTATCAAAAGATTAAAACCCTAAATACACAAAACAGAAACGAAGAATTAACCTAAATAGCGGCACAATCAATTGAAATAGGGGAAATTGAGGAACCTGAAGGAAGTGAAAGCTTGGAGTTGAGAGCAGCTACAGGGGAGACAGCCATTTTAGCTGAAAATTGTGAACTCTGAATATTTCTTATCTTAATTGTTGCAGGCTTGTTTGAGTTGGTGTTTTAAGTTTTTTCGGGGTCGTGTGGTTGGGTGTATAAGAAAATTTTTTAAAGGATACAGATAATGACGTTAAGATTCAAATAAAAACTATATGTTCGATCATGATGGTATTGTAGAGTTTAGTCCTGTAGTCGTTTTTAGCTTTTTTTGAATGATATATGATAATGTAAGATTGATTGGCGAGACACATCTAGTAAAATGAGAGATTGAAACCTTTGAGACAGGCGTTAGAGTGTAAAGGTTTTTGGTTTAGTATAAGTTATAATTAAAATCGAGTACTCACGATGCAAGTTCAGTGGCGTAACATAAGAGACAGAGGTGAAAGTAATTCACACGCTATATTCAAGATAGCATTTTCAAGTAGAGGATCTGTAATACAACAAAATATAAAGATTGACCTGCATTGGTGTATGCAGACTGCAGTTGTGTGTTGCTCAATCAAGAACATACAAGTTCAATGACGAAAACAACAATGACGTCGATGTTCAAACAGATATGAGATATAATTCAGAACAAATCTATTCAGAATAAAGCAAGAGCGATCTTCGTGAAATGTGAACTAAGAAAAATCAAGACTGAGACGATCAGTGAAGAGAATGTGTAAAAGATAAGAACTGAGCGAGGTAATTTGGCAGGACATAACATACCTCCGACTTACCGAAAATATGATCTAGTAAAAATATTGAAAGACAATATTTTATCTATTTCTTAAAGAGAAAATAGTCAAATATGCCCCTAAACTATTCGAAAAGATCTAGATATACTCTCCGTTTAAATGTCATGGTGCATGACAATTCCATATGACATTTAAAGAAATGAAAAATAAATTGGATATGTCCAACATACCAGCTAATGCTCATAAGTGCATATTTGGGCCAAAAGTTGAAGAGCGAAAGCATGAGTGAACCAAACTTCAAACGAAGTATATTCAAACCTTTTCGAATAACTTAAAAGACATATTTGACCCTTTTCTTTTTTTTTAAAAGACATAAAATAAAATTTATGTATATCGAAATATCGAAACGAATAAATACACATTACAATTGATTATCTCCCTTTGGTAAATTTTGCAAGTAAATATGAAAAATAAAAATATATAAAATAACAGCACGTTAAGAGTCAACTACCCAAACCGAAAGTTCAGGCAAATTTCTTTTTCTTTGTTAGCTGCCGATAAAAATGGCCTATGGTCATCATCAACAAACAAAATATATTAATAATAATAACAAAAAGATCCCTTTTTTTTTACACCAAATTCCAAGATTTTTTTTTTTTAACACTCTCTACACTACAGACTGCTTGATCCAAAAAAAATAAATATTTTTTTCAATTGTTATATACTCAGAAAAATCATGTAATCACGAGAATTTTTATATATACTTATAGATAAAGGAGGTAACTTTTGCTATTTTGGGAAGTGGGTATTGTGATTTTGGGGGTGATTTTCCATTTTTGTGCAAAAGATCTGTTTTTGAGTTAATTGAAAGCTGTATCTGAAGTGGGTGTTTTACCTTTTCCCAGTTTTGTGCTTCGATTATAGAGATTTCAGTAAATTTAGTGTGAAAGATTTGTTTTTTTAGTTAATTGATAGCTTGTATCTGAAGTGGGTATTGTGGTTTTGAGTTTTTCCTTATCTGGGTGTTTGATGTTTTCTAATTTTGTGCTTTGATTATAGAGATTTCAGTAATTTTAGTGTGTTAAGATTTGATTTTGAGTTAATTGAAAGCTTGTATCTGAAGTGGGGATTGTGCTTTTGGGTTTTTTCTTATATGGGTGTTTTTCATTTTCTAATTTCGTGCTTAAGTTATAGAGATTTCGATAAATTGGTGCAGAAGATTTGTTTTTGAGTTGATTGAAAGGTGTATTGAGCTCAATTGAGCAATCTTAAGCAGAGATTGATTTGGTTAGCAGATTTGGAGTGCATGTGATATTTTTTTTGGCTTTTATATCAATCTGGTTGTTGTTCTTTTTATAATTTCTTGATTCAATTGCAGATTTTTTTTTTGTGTAAATAAAGGACTGTCAATGAAGTAAGTGATAAGCTGTCTTTGAGGTTCAAATATTTTCTGTTACTGAAGGATTCTTTCCTTTTTGTTTGGTTGGACAAATAGAGATAATGGATTCAAGTCCTTATTTGAGGTTCGTTTTCATTCACTTACACTGAATTGTTTTAGTTACTTGCATGCAAGTAAATTTCTTATGGAGATTATGCATCCTCATAGCAGTAATGGTGGTATTTCTCTTGTAGTCTCTTGTCCTTCGATTACTGTTTGTAAGTTGTAGTTAGTTTTTTTTTTCAGAATGTTTTTTCATGCTTTCTATGAGATTTTGTCATGATTTCTTCAGCTTCGTTATTTCTCTTTCGATCTGCCTTGATATGCTGATTAAGCAGCACTTCTGTTAATGACTAAAGAATGAAGTAAATGTTTCTGAAATCTGTTTAAATATCTGGAAGAATTAAGCAAAAAGAATGGAACATAATCTAATTTCAGTTCGCTGAGTGACACATTTCTTCTCCACTGTACCACTCTTCCAAAGAGCTTGGGTTTTTTGAGGGAGTCCTATATCTTTCACTCCCCAACAAGAATGCATGATAGGCTCGTAGAGCTTTATTAAATAATAGCCTAGTGAAAAAGGAGTACATGTACGAAGGTAGAGACATCCTTACATCCTTTTAGAAAGAAATGTATATTAGGAAGACCAACTGATCGGGGAATTAAGAGTAGTCCCATTGTACTCTTTGCAATCTTAGAACGAAAATGATACGTTGAGTGTGAGAACGTAGAAGCATATTATGATCATGTTGTTTGGAGTTATATCATCTTTTATATGAAAAACCTTACTGCAACCCATAGGCTGACAATGGCTTTTTCCTCTTTTCCCCCCTTCGTGACTTGAACAAATTAACCTGCTACCTCTTGGTTAGAAGTGGACTGTCTTGTACAGTAGTAAAGACCAACAATTTCCTGTCTGTTTAAACTTATATCACTTTATATGGTTTCTAGGAACTTATTGACTAACAGAACACATGTACTAAATGGCAGTTTAACTGCTGCATTTTCGTATGGAATTGCATCTATGGCTATGGTTTTCATCAACAAGGCAGTGATCATGCAATATGCTCACTCAATGACTCTTCTCGCAGTTCAGGTACAATAACGTGACTTATCAGATTGCTGAATACACAGAAAATATATTGGATTTCTATCATCTTGTGAACTGTTGACTTGTGTTTCTTGTTCTTACCTTTTTTCTTTTTTTGCTGGACTGTACACTGTTATTAGCAAGTAACAACAGCTTTGCTCATACACCTTGGTAGAGTCATGGGATACACAAAAGCCAAAGATTTAAATGCAGAGACTGCGAAAAGACTTTTCCCAGTTTCATTGTTCTACAATGCAAATGTCGGATTTGCTTTAGCAAGCTTGAAAGGAGTAAATATTCCCATGTATATTGCCATCAAAAGGCTTACGCCACTTGCTGTACTAGTAGCTGGATTCTTTACCGGAAAGGGTAGACCTACAACTCAGGTTGGTGATTAAGATATCTACCTGGTTTCATACTAGTTGGGTAGAGTAACTTCATTTTAAAGTCCTCTCAGTGTTGCTTATTACCCTGATAGATCTGTGAATCTCTTTGATGCTGTTTTATATTTTTTTCATTTCTGTGTATACTCTAACTTCACTGTATTTTATTTGGAATTTGATAAATATTTGGCTCTGGTAGTGTGGAAACATAGAGTGCTGATTTTCTTATTCAATTATCTATCATGTGTCTGGCAGGGGCAGTATACTATATAATAGACTGTCTCTACTTACGTAGTTACTTTTGTTTTTGCTTTCCGTGACTTCTACACAGATGTTCATGCACTAGTCACTATAAATAAAAGAATCCAAATGTGTATACATATTTGTAAACACCAGTAATCTGATTCTGCCTTTTAGCTTTCTCAACTTCTTTTGTTTACGCCTTGGTTTCATTCCTCCATGTGAGGAAACTGAGTGGAAGTTTTATACTAATAGTTACTCGATTTGTGTCTTTAATGAATTTGGAGAAGTGAAAACCACAGAGGTAAACTTTTCCTTAGTTTACTATGTAGATGATATTGCCTGAATTACTCTATGTAAGATAACTGACGAAAAAGTCAGGCCCGTAATCAACGGAATGGATTTCAAGCTATGGGTAGAGTTTCTTGCTAGTGGACTAGTCCAACGGTTGTATACCATTGACTATTCTATCAGGGCAAACAGTTAAAATAAAGCTAGTGCAAATAGCAAAATGCAGTCAGAAGATTAGTTTGGAGAAGTATTAATTTGGGAAAAGATAGTAACCCCTTAACTAACGTAATGGTCATCATTTGATCCTTAAACAATGCTTAAGCCACTACATTAACCTCGAGTCTAATGTATTCACGAGGTAAACAATTTAGTGTGTTCACCACCAAACTAGTTGGCTAATGAACTTTTTCTACCCCTTTAAGATACAGGATAGTTAGTCTCAGACAAAATAGTAGCCGACACAGGAAAAGTTCGAGGAGTGCATTCATTCCGACATTTGTAAAGTATAGGTGGGTTTGGCTTGAAGACTCGAGTAGAAGTTGACTCAATAATAAGGCACTAGACTTTATCTTTTGTTTACTAATATATATTCTTCCCTACAGATGCCGAATTGATATATCGTTGATTAATGAGAAAGCTATGTCCATCTACTATCGCCTACCATTTAATCACCCATTGGGTTTTTGCCTAACCATCTACTAAGTGGCACCACCTATAGTGTGTCTACTAATGGGATTTCTGTCTTATTTCAGGTAACACTTTCCGTATTACTAATTGCTGCCGGAGTTCTTATTGCAGCTCTTGGAGATTTTTCCTTTGATCTTTTTGGATACAGTTTGGCCTTTATTTCTGTTTTCTTCCAGGTCTGGCCTTGTTTTTTAATCAATTAGTGCTTTTTGTTGCATGTATCTTTTCTCTTATTGTGATTAAATTATAATTCCATCTCTTAGTTACATGCCCTTGTTTCATTTGCAGACCATGTACCTTGTGTTGGTTGAGAAGTCAGGAGCAGAGGATGGGCTTTCGTCTATTGAGATCATGTTTTACAACAGTTTCTTATCTTTGCCATTTCTGCTATTCCTCATCATAGCCACAGGAGAATTTCCAAATTCTTTATCTCTTTTATTTGCAAAGGTTTGTTTCTTTGCTATATTCAGTTTAGTCAACATAGTCCTTTATTGATACTAAGAAACAAATTAGTTGGTAGTTACTGCTTGAGTAATGCTGGACTGAGTTATCAACTTATCATTGCCTTTATTTTGTCAAACAAGTTAAAGAGAAAAGGCAATCATAAAGGGCGATAATACAGAAGCACGTATCAATAAACTAGAATGATCAATGAAGGCTAGAATGAAGTATGAGACTAGTATTTCATATCCTAACGGAGGAAAAAAGACTAGTTGGTTTCTTATAGTATGTCGTAGCTTTGGTGGAAAGTTGCTCAGCATATGTGCATGTACGAAGTAGATTGTACACGGTAGATTAGGTAGGTGTGTGCATTGACTCAGACACCCTTGTTACAAAATCAAGAAATTGATATATTGCCAACTTGTAGTAATTAGGATATATATAAATTAATCATTTGACTTATACTTTCTTTTCTGAAATGGTTTAACTATACTTTCTAAGTTGCGATCTGCTATATGAATCCTCTATACTTGTGTATCCTAATACTTGAAGTTTTAGAGGTTCCCTCGGCTGATGTACTAGTTGAAGTCTATCTTTATCCTTTTTGAATGCTTATTGAAATTTTGTGGTTCTAAACTCGCCTTTTTCCCCATGAACAGAGTAGTTCAATATCATTTCTTGCTATTCTTATTCTTTCATTGGTGATGGGCATCATCTTGAACTATACGATGTTCTTGTGCACCATCGTTAACTCGGCTTTAACTACCACAATTGTCGGAGTCCTCAAAGGAGTTGGATCTACGGTATGTGTACATCTTAAATCTTTCTTTTCATTTCTTCAACTACTACGATTATCGGAGTCCTACATTTCACTTCAAAAATTGTACTTGTTCATTCACAGACACTTGGTTTTGTCCTGTTGGGAGGAGTAGAGGTACATGCTTTGAATGTCACTGGTTTAGTGATCAACACAGCTGGTGGGGTGTGGTATTCATTAGCTAAATATCAACAGAAGAAGAACAAATTGCCTAAGATAATGTCCGATATCGATAGTCATCGTAAATAAAAAGATTGCTAGTTGGTTCCATAGAGTTCAATATTTATAATTTTCTTCCTTCACAAGTTATGAAGAGAAAACTACATGATTTTGTTTTTCAATCAATTTTTGATAGTTACCTTGAACATGTAGTTGTTGTTTACATGTAAACATTGAAAATGTTGTACAACTCTTTTTTGTCTTGAAATGCTTAGGGTATTTCTTTTCATCTGTCTAAATCTTGGTCGTGAATTTACTTCAAATGTAACTTGTCTAAACCTACCCTAAGGTAGTTGAGGTCGGGTTATTATCTCGAAATGATTTGTATATATATTTCCTATTGGCCTAGGTAGGTAGCGTTGTGTCGTACTTTTGTTAGGTGAGACATTATAGGTACCCGATGAAATAATCGCTTTGTTCAAACATCACTATTGTTGAACAAAATATGGAATAGAAAAAATAAACATATGTTATATGCCAATTACTAGCTTTTCTTTACTCCATTGAAAATAACCAAAGATTTTTCTCTAGATGACAAAGATTTCAAAAAAGAAAATTGGTTGTCGTGGGATGGATAAGATTCCTCCACTCTTAATAATTATGTGGCGTGCGGAAGGCAAAGCCAGAATTTTCAATAAGGGGGTTCAAAATGTATAGAAATAGACACATTGAGTAGCCGAAGAGAGTTTGACATCTATTATATAGGGAAACTTACATAAAGATATTATAATAAAAAAATATTTACCATTTATAGCAATAACATTTTTTTTTCACTTGATTACTTTTAATTCATTTATAATACAAGTTTAATACATATTACAAAGATAATTTATTCTTCAAATATAATACAAGTTTTAATGATATATAATACATTAATACACATTTTAATAGACTGATTTTTTTATCAAACAAACGTAATATAATTCAAATATATTGCATACATAATTCACTTTTAATACATATTACAGATTTATCACAAATATTGCTATAAATGGTAATAAACAAAAAATATCACTAAAATCAGTAATTATTTTTAAAAATGTATTAATTCATGTAATTTTTCCATTATATATACATATAAAAATTATTTTAACCTTGTATAAATAATATTATTTTTCACCGAAGAGAAAAAACCCCTTGGACAAGGTGGCTCCGCCCCTGGCGGCATGACTTTAGATTAATCGAGCTCCAAAGAGTATTCAACACCGAGTGAAAAACGAAAAAATTCTACATGTATACGCGTAGGAAAAGATATATAATTTTTCATCATATTTTTTCATTTTCTGTTGTTTGACAAAAAGATTTATGGTCCCCATAGTCATAATAATGAGTTTCTATGTTATAACCTTAAGTCACTTCAAAGTCCATATCAAAATATTTCATATTTTCACATGAAAATTATTTTGAGTCATATGTCTAAGTTTTAGTGAACAATTATATGATATTTATATCGGTAGAAGATAGTAAAAATTATTTAAAATAATTAAAGTGTATAAATTGGCCCAAATATGGTTGATATTTTCTAAATAATAGATATTTAATGTACGCTGAATTATTGTGTACTTCTAAATTAGTTAGAGATAATAGATATCTGATAAAATAATCAAACGTCAGTCCGAAAAAAGACAAAGAGGAATGAGGTTGTATATCCTTTGCCTTTAGATAGGTCATACTCTATACATTAAGTGGAGAAACACAAACTAAACTTATTATTTTTATTTCATTGGAAATGACCAAAGACTTTTCTTTTTAAGGTGACAAAAGACTTTGAAAAATAAAAAATAAAAAAAATCAACAAGAGCTATCAATTTATCGTGTGATGAATATAATCTCTTCGTTCTTAACTAGATATTTCATATTTTAGCCTTACAAACAAAAAAAAAAAGGGATATAAAATGCTTCTCTCGTTTATTATTTTAGGTCTTTCCCCCAATGTTCGAAGTCCACATTGGAGCACTACAAAAATCTATTGGAGGTGACACTCTCAACATGATTTCTTTCATACTCAGGACTCAAATCCCGAGACATGTGATTAAGGTTGAAATAGTCTCACCACTGCACCACAACTCATATTGATTAAAATGCTTCTCTCATTTTAATTAACCTTAGTGGGATGATTTCAGATTAATCGAATTTTAAAGTGAGTATCGAATATTTATAGAGAAAAACTAAAAGAAAAGTCATATAATATACGCGTAGGAAAAGGTCCTTTTCCATCAAATATTATTTGTCATTTGTTGTTTCAACAAAGATTTATTGACCAAAGTCATCATGATATATATATATATATATATATATATATATATATATATATATATATATATATATATATATATATATATATATTAGACTCATTCTAATTTCTATGTTCTAACCTTATTTTCTTCAAAGTTGGTCATGTCAAATATATTTCCTTGACTACTTTATGTTTTTTCCCACATAAACTACATGTTCAACCTAAGTTTCGTCACTATTATATTTGTTTTATATACTTTATCCGATATATTTCACTTAAATCATGTGTTTTATATACTTTATCTGATATATTTCATTTAAATCATAAATTTTTTAAAACTTATCTTTATTTGTGTCTTTATAAAGTAGGTGTAAGATCGTGTATTGTTACACCATCTTCTCAGACCTTACTCAATATGTTATTATCGTTATAAACTTTAATTTTTTTTCCCACATGTATATATTTGTTATCTTTATTTATTTTTCTTCATATTTTCAAGTTAAAACAAAGATTACTCCTATATAATCTTAGTGGTACAAATATATATTACTAACATACTCCTTTTGATCACTTTTAATTATCACAATTTCCTTTTTTTAGAATCAAATTATAAGAACTTTAATAAATATTTTACTGTATATTTTTTCATCATTGATATGTAAAAATTTACAATTTATAGTACTTTTTCATATAGTTTTTTAATATCTAATTTTTTTTGTTTAAAATATCAATTTACTGTTATCTAATTTAACTTTCAAAAAATACAACATAACAAATTAAAGTAAACAAGTGAATATTAACAAATAAGCTCTGATTAATATAATTTTTATAAAAGAACCTTATTTATTCGAGACTCATCTACTAAATTTTATAAAGTGAAACCTAAAAACAAACTACATAAAATTTTTCATGCCTAAAATTTAATAGGAAAATATATATTATTAAAAGATAATAGCAAAGATAGAAACAAAGTAAATATAAATTGACTTGAATATCATTATTATAAACTAATAATAATTAATCTTATATAATCTTAGTGGTACTGTTTTTTTAGAATTAAATAATGGTCAAGGTCAATGTCAATGTCAACTCTTACTAGTTAATCTCAGCCGTCAAATCTCACTTCAGATAATGGACGGTCAAGATTTTATATGAAGCAGTACCGGCCATAGCCGGTTAGCGAAAAAAGTAGTCAACGAATAGGCGAAAAAAGCAAATACGTTTCTATATAGTTTTCAACAAAGAGTCAGCTTTAGTAAGTATGGCTTTATTTTTAATTGTGAAAAATGACAAATATACCCCTGATCCCGAATTTTCGTAAATGTTATATAGATAATTTTTGTTATATTGTTGGAACATTGATATTGACATTGATATTCTTGCTGTCTAAAAACTAAAACGTATATAACTTTAATATTAACAGATATATACGTGTCATAATCTTATCAGTCGACCCGACGGATAAAATTGCATCACATATCCTTATATAATCTTCCATTAGAGTGAAGGGTATTATAGACTCTAGTTTTTAAACGACGAAAATACTAATATCTCAAAAATATGACGAAAAGTATCTAAATACTTTTTACAATAGTTTGAGATATATTCTTCATTCGAATAATAGTGATAACAACAATGTCAAATGTAACTTTGTGTATTCTTTCTTAAATAGAAAAGTACAAATAAGTCAAATCGTTTAAAATTTTTATTATCTTTTTTATATTTTATACACCTTTTTTAACTTGTCATTTGGTTAATTTTGAAGTTTCCATTAATTAAAATTTGCATGGTATAAAATTAATCAAAAATAATAATAAAATTATTTTTTATTTTCAAAACTTAAAACACAAGAACTTTAAATAAGAGTTGAACATCCGGTTCATCTGACTATGGGGTTAAATGGGAAAGTTAAGTTGAATTTAAGTTGTACTAAAATGGACTGAATTAGTAAATGTATTATAACGTGGATCGAATAGACTGGATCAAACTAGTTAAATCATGTGTCATGGGCTAACTGTCGAGTTTTTATCAAATTTACAAATATCATATGAATGATATATCGGCCCAACTTATAAAATGACTGAATTGGATAAATCAAAATAGAATAATTTAACAAATCAGGTTAAACTTGAATGACACGTATAAATAACATTTTGGGACAGTTACAAATATCATATGAATGATATATCGGCCCAACCTACTGAATTGGACAAATCAAAATAGAATAATTTAACAAATCAGTCTAAACTTAAATGGCTCATATGAATAACATGTTGGGAAAGTTACATATATATTTTTCTAAGTGTTGAAACAATAATTAAACTCATTAGTCAAATATACACAAAAATTATATAAACTATATATATATATATATACATATATATATATATATACATATATATATATATATATATATATATATATTTGTCGATTATTATTTGATGAACAATTATAAAAATTACTTTTAATATTTTTATGAGCTAATTTTATCGTTTGAATCGAACATGGCACTTGTTGATCTCTTATTTGATACCTAAAATATTAGTACTACCTTTGTTATCTATCATAATACATACAAGTGGTGTCTTACATTTTAATATTATGATCTTGTTTAGTCAATGATCCTAGGAAATCATTTCCAAGTAGGTAAAAAATTAAAAAAACAACTAATTATACTTTTTAATTGATTATTGGATCCAAACAAGCCTTATTTTATTTTATCTCTTGAAGATCTTTTGTGATTCTTTTTTGCAACATGTTGGATATATATGCCTTTTTATCCATGTATGTTTTTAAATTATTAGATTGATCTTTTATCAATATTATATATGGTTCAACAAATTTAAATATAAGATTATAAAATATTATAGACTTTATAGCCTTATTGAATCCAACTTGGTCCAACCAAATCTTTTATTAGAAAGATATTGTTTTAAATTTATTTGGCTACTTAATTCTACTTATTGGAATAATAGGTTTGAAATTATTTTTGAAATTTAGAGATTTGATTTTTAGAATAATCATGTTGGTATGTGAACAAAAAATGTTAAAAGGTAAAAAAAAAGGGGACAAACTTATAATCTAATGAAATATATTTTACTTTTTGGATAGTAAATTAAAAATTATTTTATTTTGAGAAAATGTACTTGGACTAATTTTAATTTCAAAAATGAATCTGATTAATTATCCAAAAAAAAAAATGAACTTTCAACTTTAACTTTTTTAAAAAGTACTTGATTAATTAGGGATTATGGATCTTTAACTTTGCATTTTTCACTCATTAGCAGAAATACAAAAAAAAAAAAAACATTCTAGCTCCAATTTTATGTAGTTGTTAAAATAAATAAAACTTGCTAAAAAATATAAAATGGACATTATCATTTAATGTAATATCCTTATATAACCTACCCCCCCCCCCCCAAAAAAAAAATAAAAATAAAAAAAGTTAAACATGACAAATATCTTCTGTTTGTTAATCTAATTATATTGCATAATATAACTTTAATCAAATTTAATAATTGATCAAATATCAATTATCTAATGTGTTCTATTTATGATAAAATTCTTGATAAAATGCTATATAGAATCGTAGGCTTTTATTTGTACACATACATAATTATACCAAATTATTTGAGTAGGTTCTAAATTTTATTAAAATAAATTTTAAAATATCATATCATATCAATTTATTTATTTTGCTTTAGAGTGATAAAAACGACTGCAAGCTAGGTACTTTCTCCATTTCATATTAACTTAATTTCCATACTTAATTTTTGAGGTGTTAAGAAAAAAAACATAAATTGAATCTACTTTTTAATCTTTTACCATTATTAATCATTGTCAATTTATGACTAAAATAACTAAAAATATTAATTAATTACTAATTCCAATATTAACTTAACAATAAAATTATACTATCGCTTTTTTAAAAAGCTTAATTTTAGGTATATACATGTGACATCCCAACTTAACATTAGAAGTCTCACGTCGACAAACACAAAAGAGATATTGAGTATATAAAATAATCAAGCCTTATCAATTAGTGACGCATTTTAACGTCATGCAAGACTAGATCCAAAACGGACAATATCACTAGCCGATTAGGCCGTTACAAATATGGATTAATGAATAACCGAAAATCGAATACTAAATAATTATAAAAAAAAAAAAAAACTTTCAATGTGAAAATGAGTTGTCAAAGAAATTTTATATAATTTCAATTAATGAAAATAACCCATAAATTAACAAACTCAATCCTCTTATTTGTCTTTTTTCTTATTAACCAACAAAGGTTACTATTGTCTTTATGTAAATGAATCACAGCCGTTTGATCAAAAAGAGAAAATTTGACTTACTTGATTAACCGGTGACCTGTCATCATCTTTTTTTTTTGCTTTAAATACCTCAGTGTTGTTGTTGATTTTTTTTCATCATGAGTAGAACCAAATGGCTGTTTTATCAAAAATGAATGAAAGTTTTGCTGTTGAAGAAGCAGCTTCCGCCGGTTTGAAATCAATGGAGAATTTAATCCGATTGGTTTCTCATGAACCGGTTCAGGCTGATTGCCGTGAAATGGCTGATTTTACGGTTTCGAAGTTCAAAAAGGTGATTTCAATTTTGGACCGGACCGGTCATGCTCGGTTCCGGCGAGGACCGGTTCAGGCTCAGGCTCCGGCTCCGGTTCAGGTTAGAGCTCCGGTTCGTGGTCCGGTTTATCCTGATTCGTTTACTTCGTTGTCTCTTGCTCCGTCGTTAAGCTTTGCTACGGCGAAGGAGAGACTTGCTCCGTCGTTAAGCTTTGCTTCGGCGAAGGAGAGACCGGTGGTGCAGGTGCAGACGGCGTTGACGCTTGACTTTTCGAAGCTGAATGTTAACCGTCCGATCGGGAATTCAAGTGCTTTTACTGCTTTTACTGTGAAATCTAAGGAGGTTTTAATGGCGGATCCGACGCCGACGAACTCGTCGTCGTTTATGTCGACGATTACCGGCGAAGCAACTGTATCTAATGGTAAGCAAGTTTCTTCTTCTATGTTGTTGCTTCCGCCACAGGCTGTGAATTTTCCGACCACCGGAAAACGTTGCCGCGAGCATGAACAATCTGATGCTATCTCCGGCAGCAAATCCACCGGCTCCGGCAAGTGTCACTGCAAAAAGAGGTACTTCTCTCGTTTTTCCGTTTATTTCGACTATAAATAGCGCGTGATATCCACGCTCCTTGTAGCGCTTTTTCCTCATCGTTGTTTGACTTTCATAGCATTTACGTTTTTTTTGAAGTAAGGTCTCGAGAGGATAATGTATGTAATTTTTATTCTATTTTATGAAAAACAGGAAAGCTAAGGATCGGAAAGTGATTAGGATTCCGGCGATAAGTACGAGGGTGGCTGATATACCGGGAGACGAGTTTTCATGGAGGAAATACGGGCAAAAGCCGATCAAGGGTTCAAAATACCCAAGGTAATTACAATGTACCTATCAATCACGACCGTTAATTTTAGTTTGTAATTACAATGTACCTATCAATCACGATCGTTAATTTTAGTTTGTAATTACAATGTACCTATCAATCACGATCGTTAATTTTAGTTTAAATCAATTAGATGAAGGACTAACGATTATTTTTACGTTCGATTAGGGGTTATTACAAGTGTAGCAGCTTACGTGGATGTCCAGCAAGGAAACACGTGGAGCGCGCGATGGACGATCCAACGATGCTGATTGTGACTTATGAAGATGAACATTGTCATAATCCAGTTGCTGCGATGCATGGGAACAGTTCTCAAATGGTGAATTTTGGGTTAATGGAAAAGAAGTAGGGGGTGAAATGAAGATAGAGGAGAGTTGTAGGGTGATTTTGTAGTTTGGAATAGTTGGGGGGTTGAAGTTATATTTGGGAAAAGTTATAAGGGTTAAAAGAGTAGAGAGTAGGAAGTTGTGGGAATTGGTTTGTTATGTAAATTTGGAAAGATTTTAGGGGTTGAAAGAGAAAAAAAAAGAAAAGTTTCGCAATTTTTGACTCCTTTTACCTTTTTAATTTTGTTACTCCTATGATTAGCATGAAAATATATTTAAGGATATCTAAGAAAAAAGAAAAAATTTAAATTAATCTAAGAAAAACAAATAAAAATTAATATGTATCTAACTTAAAACAATATGTAGTTTTATGGTTAACAGTGAAAAATGTCATCGAGAAATTTGACGACTCTTTAGTAATACAGGATGGTTTTATATCTTTAACGTTTTTTCATCTATTGTATACCTTTTTCATCTTTTAGATACTTTGAGGTGATTCGACCTTTTTAACGTTTTTTATCTTCGAATGTGGAAGAATAGGACTCTAATTTAGGACTTTAAAATTAAAAAAATATGAGAGTAATTTTCAATTATTTTTAAAGCCTCTTAGGAGTACTCATTTTCTGTTACTTCGTTGATGACTTGTAGGGGTGGGCATTCGGTATTTTGGTTCGGTTTGGTTTTTTTTTTCGGTTTTCGGTTTTTGTAAATTGCGTACCGAATACCGAATCGAAATATTTTGGTTCGGTTCGATTTTTGTTAATTCGGTTCGATTTTTATTAATTCGGTTCGGTTTTTTATTTCGGTTTTTTAATGGGCCTGTTTAGTGGGCTTTTTAAAATTTTAAACTTAATAATTTTTTCAATTTTTTGTTGGGAAAATTACATGGGATGACAAACATTCATAGCTAATTATATTATAGGGGTATAGTTTAATTTATTTACCTTATATAATTATAGTTTATTTTTGTTTGCTATATTTAATGGGGTCCACAATCTATTATATAACCAATGGTATAAAAACATTATTTTCTAATTTTGTATATAATTATACACAAAACAATTTTCTCTCTCCTTTTCACATTCCAAATTTTTCTCCTACATTTAATACTCCAGCTATCCAGTTTGAAATTCAAATTGTTGTCCAAAATTAGATTATTCCCTCCCGAAGTTGAAGTTCCCTCTCGAAGTTGAAGTCAATTTCGTAAGTACTCCTTAATTTTAGTTGTTTACCTCTTCTTTTTTTTTTACTTATTCAAAATTTGTATATGTATTCTGTTTATTTTTTTTCCATATATTTTGATGAAATAATTGGGTTTTTTTTCCTGATAGATCTAAAATTGGTCACACAATGAATGAATCATCTTCATCTTTGAGGATTATCAGAGGTATTCCTTTGCATGTCAATGTTGTTGACATTTTACCATCGTTTTCAATGGGGTTAACTCAAGATTTTGGATTTGATGTAGGGTCATTGGGAAAATCAAATCAAGTTATACAAGAACAAACAATGGAAGAGTTTAGATCAAAGGAAAAAAATGACCCTACGGCAGTTCAACAAGCTATTAACAATGTCAAAGCTAGAGGCATTAAAATAGTACAAGGAAGAAGAAAGAGGAAAGCTGTAAACATTGAATCAGAGGAAAATGCTTCTGAAGTTGTCGGATCTGAAGAACATAATATTCATGAGGTACTGTATTAAAACACAAAGTTAGATACAATTTTTTGGTTAATTAGATGTCAATATACAAAAAATATTACTTAAGTATTGTATATAGTATAATTGCATGTTTAGTAATTGTATATAGTATATTGCATATTTATGTTATTTTTGTTTTTTGTATATATATACAAAAAAGTAATTGGACTTAGTTATACAGATGAATTTTTTTTATTTATGATTAGAGTTTGTATATTCTATTAGTTATATACAAATTATTGAAGTTAGTATATATTAAGTTTATATACATATACAAAAATTGATACGTACATGTTTGTTTTAATAGCTGGTTGTAGGGAATTGTATATGAAAGGCTCATTATTTTTTTATATACATATGTACACAAAGTAATTGGATTTAGTTATATAGATGGGAAAATATCATATGCGATTATAATTTGTATATTGTAGTAGTTATATACAAATTATTGAAGTTAGTATATATTAACTTTATATATTATTGGAGTATATAAAAAGTCATTTAGAAACTTGTATATAATGTCACGTTTAACTAATATATTCATGTACATATATAAATATACAAAAAAGGTAAGTTCATATATATATACAAATTTTTTTTTTGAATTTGAACGTTTAGCTTAAAAAAAGGGACGTTTCCCTAAAATTGTGGCATTATCTAAATTTATTGTTAGCATATTTAACGCTTCAGTTAAAAACCATTTTTTAAAATATAATTGTATAAATAAAAAAAAACATTATATACAAAATTAAAGATACCTAAAATAACTAAACTATACCCATATAAAGTAATTACGTAAACTATACCCATATAATGTTATTTAATCTAATAAGTTTGCCATATATGAAATTTTTCCTTTTTTGTTTGATTTTTCAACTTAATGGGCTTTGATATTTCAACTTAATGGGCTTTGACATTTCAACTTAGGGTTTCTTATTTTTTTAAAAAAGATTATTTAATATTAATAATTATTAAATATAATATAATTTATAAATTATAATTTAATATTTCGGTTTAAACCGAAATACCGAATTCCAAAGTAACATGTACCGAAAATCGAACCGAAATACCGAAAATACAAAAAATTAAACCGAAAACCGAAATATCGAAACCGAAATTCTGAAAAATTTTGATTCGATTCGGTGTTTCGGTTTTCTGGTTTTTATGCCCACCCCTAATGACTTGAATTCAGAATGTTAAGATTAAAAGTGAAAGGTATTTATCGTGTCGATATGTTTTTTTATTAAAACTTATCATGATAAAAAATAATATTATATGGAACAAAGGACTATGAGTACTTTTTTTCACTAAAAATAAAGTGATCAAAATTTGTTTTTCCAACTTGCAAATTTAGTTTTAAGTTGGAAAACAAATTTGGCTATAATATATAATCAAATTGGTCTATTAAAAAAAATTAAAATAAGAAAATATGTTAGTATGTCCAAAAGGATCCTAAGTTTTGCTAACAAAAATTTGACCAAACATGTTTTGAGATTTGTCATGTAATGATGTTTGTCTTCTTCCCATAGTCTTGTTTTTTATTTAAGAAATGCTTAATGATAAAGTCAAAAAGGTTGTGCTATAAAAAAATGGTTAGGCACATGGTTTTCATTCAATTCCTTTTTTTTTAATTATTATTATTATTATTATTATTATTATTATTATTTTCTTCTTATTTTAATCATCGCTTTAATTATCAAAGGTTATTTTGGGGATTGAGTTCTTTAATTATTTTAAAACGACAGTTAAAATTGAATGAGATTAATGCGAAGGATTGCATGAATTAATTAATCAAATGTTTGTTTATTGTAAATTAAAAACTTGATTTACATTTGAATCCCTTTAATCATTTTTTTTCTTTTCAAATTTCAAATTATAAAGTTATTGCAAGTTAAGATAGAACAATAATTTTGATTAGCAAAAGGAGAGTGATTAAACTCTAAATTATCAATGAGCTAATACTTTTATAGTTGAGTTAGATTCAGAAAATTATTTTTTTTTAATCAGAATATCAGAGTTAGCTCCATCTCTATTTAAGATAACTCGATGTTTGACCCTCATCTTACATTGGTCGCTCCAAATATCACGTCGTGGAAATGTGGGGATTGAGTTTCCACATCGATGGATGACGAGTTATTTTGTCACCTTATATGGTCTTGAGCAATTATCGTTTCATGTTTGTTGCTTGTCAGATAATAGATAATTACCCGCCATTTCAAAGTAATAGACAATTACCCGCCATTTCAAAGTAAGTGTCGCTCTGATTCATTTCATGTTCGTTAAGAAAAGCATAAATAGAATTTTCTGTTAGATGTTTCCTTGGGAATTGAGCATTATTAAGAAGAAATAGTTCTCTAATATACAAAAATATATTAGAAAACAATCACTATATTCTCATCCCGAATTCCTAAAGAGACAATTATTTTTCGCTTAAGTGATACTTATTTTGGGATGGAGGGAATAATCGTTTTAAGGTTACCATTGGGAGGGTAGAAATCATTTAATAACCATAATTGTGAAGAGAAGAAGAAATACAAATTTAAGCAAGAAGAGATTTTGAAAGGAATGGAGGAATAGAATGATTATTTTCTTTTAACTCTCATGAATTCCAATGGTTTTAATATCATTTCCATGGAGAGAAACTATGTTGTTCCGACTCTTCAAAAATATTGCCCCACTCGTGTCAGATATGATGCGCACTAAACAACATTTTCGAAGAGTCCAAGCAGCATAGACACGAAATGGTGTTCAATAGGGAGAGTGGAAAACAAAAGCATTGAAAGTGAATAAGGCTTCCCAAAACACAAGAAGCTAGTAGGATGATACTAAAAAGTATAATCTACCAATAAACATTAAGAAAATCGACATTCCAAGATAAATCTTGTATAACTCGGTCCATAAATCTTGTATAACTCGGTCAATTGCCTCAGCTAGTCGACTAAAGGGCTCGAGTGCAATAAGAAACTCAAGTAAAAGATGTAGTTCATAACCAACTTATCAAATGGGGAATCATATCATATGGTAATTGCAAGTAAAGAAGACAACATATTGTCTTTATTGATAAACAACGTTCCGGCTAACGCTCAGAGCTCTACTTCAACTGACATTTCCATCTAACAGGAATAAATAACAGGTTGCATATTATGTAAGGATACATATAAGAATTGGTAAACCTCTAGAAATGAAAATTACCTATATTGTACAAGACAGCTGCGACAACGATCCAGGTGACAGTACTGCTTCTTACTTTGTCGCTGAACTAATCAGTAAGTATGCGAGACAAATTGAATAGGCTTAGCTCTAACTAAGAGGCACGTTGAGGATAGCTGCATCCCAGTGTGTCAACAGTTTTGTGTGGCGACGATGTGCTTCTTTATGCTTGTAAATACGACCTTGCTAAATGGTAGTGAATGAATCCTTCAGAAACTTACTATACACAGAGTGACAGATGAACACCAGAAGACCTGTCAAGTTTAACTGTTGCCTTAATGATAATAATCTAACGATTACTTAACAGTAGGAGAGGTCTGATTCTGATCTGTTACAACATTGCTGAATTTTCCACTAGGATGTCGAACTTTAAAACTACCATGTTTCACAGGTTTTGAATGAAACAGACCGTTCAACACTTTTTCTAAAGATTGAGCTGTATATTTCACATATTTGCCACTTCCTTCTTGTTCAACCAATGGTCCATAGTTCTGCATGTAACTTCGGTAAACAGGCACAATTGCTTGAATGATTGACTGGCATGTCTTATCCCGTAGGTCTTTGTCCAGCATTACCCAATTAGACTGTTTCTTATACATTTCATCAAACGCTTCGTTAAAAGCTTTTAATCGTTTCTTGACAAGATCACGAGCGGTGGCGCGCCCACCTGAAAACAAAATAAGACCTTCCCTGCTTAATAAAGCAGGAAGCTTTCCCCAACTTTCTTTCAAGAAAAAGGCAGAATAGTACTCCTTGTACTGTTCATGCTCCTTCAACCAAGAATCTCCCAACAGACCTCCAAGCTTAGTTCCTTTCAAATGCTTATATAGATGCCAATGATTATTCATCAAGAACACATATGACAAAATAACATCTTGATAGGCCTTTGACCATGTCTCTAAATTCACGTCAACAGCTCTCATTATATTCAGTAGCTCAGTAATGAGAAGCCGCTCTTGAAATTTTTCCTGCTTCCAACTTCTTTCAATAATCAGAACTTGGGTGAGGATAGACTTATAATCATCCCCGAGCAACTTATTGCAATAGTCGGTGATGAAAATGATAAGTTTCGGAACAGTACCATCAGGTGGAGGTGGCATTTGCCTTTGCAACTCAACTTGAACCAGAAGTTCCCAAAAGATCTCACTAGCACCTTCAATCACACTCTTGATCAAATCCCTAGTCAAATTTTGTATTTCCAAACACGCAGTTCCACCAAAGAGCCGATTGAAATCCAATCTTAACTTGTTTAAAGATGCAAATATGTCCAACAGCTTCAACAGCTTGATAGGATCCTTCTTACTCTCTGTCACTGTTTTTCCAAATTGAAGGAATGCAAGAATGCCTGCTTGGGCAGCTATCTTAGCGAAACAGCTCATCCACACATCCAACCCGATTCTCTCAAACACATCATTACAAAGTTTATATTCAGCTTCAAAAAGATGTTTTACAGCAAATTCTAAATGCTTACCCCACTGAGCAATGTGACCCTCTATGCTCTGCACATCATTGAACTCGGAGACCGAAATTTCTAAATAATCCAAATTAAGAGCCTGCAAACTTGTCCGGACATTAGAACTCCTCACCTCAACATAAATAGATATGCACTTATCGAGTCTGTTATTAGCAATCAATCTTCCGAGTATAGCCTGTAGCTTCTGGATAACGATCACTGGCAAAGGCGAGGGCGCAATGCATGCTTGTTCACCTGGCAAGGCTGGATCAGACATTGGCAGTGGAATAGTATTTTCAACCAAGAGCCGTCGAAATTCACTTTCCAATCTGTCCAACGCAACCTCAAGAAGCCCTCCATCAAGCCGACCCTTTTCCTCCCCACTGTGCAATTCCCTAAGAGAAGTCAATGCCTCCTTCATACTTAAAGTAAACCTGTCATCAGCAACTGCATGATCCTCTAGATACTCTACAATATCTGCCAACCACTGAATTGCCATCTCACAATTCTCCCCTAAAAATCTTAATGCCTCTTCAAGCCTCTTAAGCACACCAAGGTACCCCGGGAGGTCCGATTGAGGATCAGACAACGACTTCTCTAGTCCATGAATTGCATCAAACACTTTTAACACCGCCGTCGCAGGGACAACAGCACGATTAATATGTCCCCCAACAGCACCAAGAGCATCTTTCTGAGCCCTAATTGGCCTTATAGCAGCCTCCAAAGCTGGTAATCTCTGAATAATCTCATAAAATCTAGGCCCAGCTTTTTCAATAGATAAACCTAAAGCTTTTGACTTTTCAAAATTTGCCCTCAAACATTTTCTTGCTGACATCAAATTTTCAATCCCTTTATCCATCTGGGTCATCCTTAAATTCACAAAACTAATCCACTAATCAACCCACAAATGAATCTGAATAATCAAACAATTTAACACATAAAGATCAAAGCTTTCCTTATAGAAAACTACCCCCAAAGCCCTAAAGCCCCTATAAATGCAATACACTGAAACAAACTTCAAAAAGATTCAATCTTTTGCTCTTCATCATATCTAATGATCAAAATAAATAAACCCCAACAAACAATTGCAGACCCCAAATCAAGAAAATCAACAACAATTCATACAACAACAACAAAAAGACTGATATATAAATATAGAAAAAATGCAGTTGTCAGAAGTACTCACTCACAGATAAATTGCAAATCAAGATCCACCAAGCAAGATTTGAATTTGGGACTTTTTGTATATACTAAATGAATGTTTTGGGAAGAATAAAAGTGAAGGGGTGGAGAAAGTAAACCCTAAAAAGATAAATTGGGAAATGAAAAGTGACTGCTTTTTCTCACAACACACTCTTTGCTTAGTCCAAGAAATTGTTTGTCCTCCTGGCAATGACAAAGTGCTGGACTACACTACACCATTTTTTATTTTCTCTCTTTTTTTTTTTTTTTTCTCTCTCTCAAACTTTTTTGACAAATTTTAGATCTTATGAAATGATTTTGTTCAAATGGAATCATATTTTGTGTTGATTCTACTTTGTGACTCACCCCTTTTGCTATTTTTGGAAAAACAATAATTATTTTTGTTTCATTTTAAGGATAATTTTTTTGAAAAAAAAAAATTTTTTTAGGATAGTAACGAGTAAGATTAAGGTTTGAAAGTTCGAATTATGAAAAAGATAAATAAAAATATTATTAATCGTTTGAGATTAGTACTCAGTTTAAACTCTATAAACTAAGCTCAGAAGCAAACCAAAATAGTAAAAGGTTGAAGGAGAGGCATCATTCAAAAAACAACGATCAAGTGAATTAATTAAGACTTTAACGTATATACACCGAGCCTATTAAAAAAATAAATAAAAATATTATTAACCGTTCGAGATATGTACTCAGTTTAAACTCTATAAACTAAGCCCAGATCAAGCCAAAATAGTAGAAGGTTGAAGTAGAGACATCATTCAAAGAACAACGGTCAACTGAACTAATTAAAAGTTTAACGTATATGCATCGAGTCTACTAAAAATAACTAATTGAAAATTTAACGTATATACACCAACCATATTACCTAATGGAATACACATTGAAAACATTGTATTACCCAACCAAACCAAGTATGAACATATACATTAGCAAAGAAGATCAAAACTTTTGTGTCCAATTGATTTAAATCAAAGTTGGAACACAATATTTATTCGCATCGACAGCTTATATCATGGTTAAGTAGTTTAATAAAGTGAAGACATGCATTCATTAACGTACAGACACATGTCATATAATTATTGATTTGACGTAAACATCTGATGCACTGCACGTATATCTATTACATAGGTGCACTAGGAACAATATCTTTGCTATCTACACCATTTCCCTCTTCAATATTCTTCCATCCTCTGCCCCTTTTAAACTCTTTTGCAGTGTCATAAGAAGCATGAAGTCCAAAAAACAAGTAATACACCAACAAAAAGCCAGTCCAGACACCAAATCTCATGAATGAAGCTCTATCTAGTGAACCTAATAGAAAAATGTTGATAGCAATTGAAGCTGATGGTAACCATGGCACTAGTGGTACACCCCAAAGTTTTGGTTTTCTAGCTTGAGGAACAAAATACCATAGTCCAATTGTTGCTAGTAACCATATTGGCAAGGTAATGCAATAGCCAATCCAACCATCTTTACTTAGTCCCCAATAAGTAGACGTGGCGATTGAGGATGCAAGAATGATCAAGAGAGACGTGATAAGTTTGTTGCGATTTGCTATAGTTGTATCACCATGAACGTAGTAACGTCTAACGAGGAGAGCAAGGGCAACGAGCATGAAGATGAAGAGAGTGGAGATTGATAGGAGGTTGGAGAGGATATCGAGTTTCGTGAATAAGGCAATGATTGCTGTTGCACATGACATTACAGCTGTGGCATTGACTGGTGTACCTGTAGATATAACATGGCTCAACGTACGTTAAGGTTCGTGGTCTTGAATTCATCAAGTTTAAAACAACGTACGTTAAGGTTCGTGGTCTTGAATTCATCAAGTTTAAATCCTGAATACGTACCTGTCTTGGCATTTACTTGAGAAAACCAAGGAGGCATCATGTGAGTTCGTGATATATGAGTTAGATAACGAGCCTGACCAACTGCACCCACCAGTAACACCGATGTCATTCCTTTCAACGCCCCTGCAGCTACGATATACTGTGCCCAACTCCATCCAACAGATTTAAACGCCACGGAGAATGGTGCTTGAGTATCAATCTTCTGATATGGCTGCATCAGACACAAAGTCATGGCTAGTAAACAGTACAGAAAAGTTGTGATCACCATAGAACCAATTAGTCCAATTGGAATATCTCTGCCTGGATTTTTAGTTTCTTCAGCCATAGTAGAAACAGCATCGAATCCAACATACGCGAAGAACAAAACTGCAGAAGCTTTGAAAATCCCGCGAACTTTAAATGGAGCGAAGGGGGTGTAGTTCTTGGTATCCGACTTTATTAGGCCACAAACGATGATAAAAAAGATCACGAAAATGTGAACAATAGTGGCTATGTAATTGAGACGAGACGAGCCCTTTGTACTAAGTATTGCAATTATACAGATGATGATACAAACTCCAACAGCAATCGGATCTAACTCGTTGTATCCTTCTGCTAAACTGTCCACTTTGATGAGGAATTTATCCGAGCTGAAGTTTAGTAGAGTCGCGAAATAGGAAGTCCACGTACGAGCTACTGCAGCACCAGCAATGACATATTCAAGAAGTATATTACCAGCAGCAATGAAGGCAACAAAGTCACCTAACTCCACCCTCAAGTAGGCAAATGAACCACCTAAAACATCGGTAAACAACTTCATTCGCGTTACCATTCATAGAAAGTGAAACTAGTATTCCGAAAAATAAGACAGATTATCTGCTATAACGCATCATAAATAACAAAGTTCATAACTTTACCTAATGTTTGCTGCCAGAGTTGAGACTTAGTCCTGTGTAGCTCGGACTCTTCAAAAATGTCATCATCAGGTGTGTGTCGAATTCTTAAAAGTAGTACATTTTTGAAGAATCCAACACTGGTGCTGTAACATTTTTGGAGAGTCTGAACAACTTAGCCTCGGTCTCTATGTATACCAATGTTAGAAAACAACTCAGAGTTTGTATTCATGACTAAACACAACTTCAATTTTTCACTTTTAAAATGAAAACTACTTATGTTATTATATGTAACAACTACGTCTCAGTTCCAAACAAGTTAGAATCGACAATTACCTGCTACAGGAATCTCAACCGCGAACTCGGTGTAGCAAAATACAGAGAGCAAAGCAGAGACACCAGAGACAACATAAGATAAAACAACAGCAGGACCAGCCTCTTGATTAGCTTCAAGGCCTGTAAGAACAAATATTCCAGCTCCAATAACAGCTCCCAATCCAAACCATATCAAATCCCACCAAGTAAGTGTTTTCTTCATTTCATTCTGGCTCCGCGACTTTGCTTCCAACTCTTCCTCGTCTTCAGAACGTGTTAGGATCCTATCGATTAGTCTTGTTGGCGTTTGTATCAGTGCATTCGCGTAGTTTCTCCAGCTTTTGAACGATTCCTCAGGAAGAAAATCGTCTTTCGTGCATGAACATACTCTTCTCCTTACTCCTGAATTTGTTTGTTGATCTACACCCTCAACACCCATTCTTCACAACTTGACTCCTAAATTTATAAAGTTTCAACATAAAGAGACGATAGAAACGCGATATAAACATGTACATAGGCGATTACAGGATTCAAACGTCTACAAGAAAAACACATATTAAATCAAATAGATTCAATGTGACACAAACATGTACATAGGTGATAGGCGAGTACAAGATTCAACGTCTATAAGAGAAACATGTACCTTTTAATATCGACCTATCACATTCTCGACTTTTAAGTTAGACAGCATCGAATAAAGACGTAATACATAAACATGTTCTATAACTAATTGGCTTCAGTTAACTAGCATCTACACCGTCCAACTTTGGATGTGCAGATACTAAATTGTAATAAAGTTGAATAAGTAAACATACTACATAACATAATACAAATCAATTGTCACTTACGGCGAGTGTCATTCACGCAAATGTATATCTACTTTTTCAATTTTATACAGTAATGTATATACTATTATATTTCTTTTCACACCCCAAACATATATATAACTAGTGAATTTATCATTATATTTTGGGAATTGAAACAAAAACTAGAAAAAAATATGTAAATTGAAATAAAATAAAAGTATAATAAATATACCTATTAGAGCTACAAGAGATATTCACAGAATTACAATATAAACTTTGTATATACTAATAATAAAGATATATAAATAGAAGAAAAAAATGTGTGTTTATTAACGATATTTTCTCTGAATTCATCGTCCGGCAAAAGATACTAAACAGCTAGCAATACACTCCAAAAAATAAATTATTTTTGTTTACCACGTTTTATCGTTTGATAGTTGATCTAAATATGTCTTTAATCTTATGCATAACACATAACATACTCTACAACTTTGAGTGCGTACAAATAGACATTTAAACTGAATATAGTCGAACAAGTATACATGCATCCTACGTGACATTTTACATCTTATATAACATTGTATGTAACTACGTCACGTAGGACGTGCACGTGTCTACTTATGCGCAACCAAAGTGTTTGAAGTAATGTCCATGCAACTCCTCCATCTTGCAAATTCCGATTTTATTGAATTAATCAATATATGTGCTATCGAATCGTTTATTATAAATTCGATAACTTTTGTAAAAAACATTTTAACATATAGTAGTAATTAATATTTGCATTATGAATTTAATTTAGAAAAGGGCAAAAAAGGAACTTGAAAAAAAAAAACAGATATGGGCACTCCATTCTGCTCTCGTTATGCTTCTCTCAACTTCACGCATTTTTCCCCCAGCTTAGCTCCGGCGATTCAGTTAACGTTCAGCACTACTTTCCGGCGACGGAACGTCGGCGTAGTATCTCGAATGGAATCAACATCCATTTCTCCCTCCGGCGGCTCCGGCACTACCGCCGTCAGCGCCATTGCTGCCGGCGGCGATGCGACCACAACCGGCAGCAATAGTACAGAGGAGAGCTCGATTACCGATACGGTGGTTCAGTATGTTGTTCTACGGAGAGATTTGATTGATACATGGCCGTTAGGAAGTGTGGTTACGCAAGGCTGCCATGCCGCCGTCGCCGCCATTTGGTCTCACAAAGACGATGCTGTTACTCTTCAATATTGTAGCCCTTCCAATATCGATTCGATGCATAAGGTGAACCGTCTAATTAGTTGATTTTTGTTTAGTAAGATTCATCATTACTGTTTCGGATTCACCAGATCAGTTAATTATAATACATTTGATCATGTTAAAATATTCATACTATAAGTTAGCTAGAAGGTGATTGGAGGTATATCTCTGTAAAAACCAATACTTAAGCTGAAGAAATTGTAAAGAAAATACTTTTATTGGTTAACTTAGTATATGCTAATAAGATTATGGAACTTGCAACAACTTTAATGATGATGGTTATGTTGACTGCAATAACTGAGTGTGTGCGCCTCGACTATTTCACTGGGTACCTGTTTACCTATTAGATAACTTTGTCCACTAAGGCTTAGTCAGATGGGATTCATAGGAAGGGATTATCTAGTTTTTCTTTTCCTGCTGGAACTTTGACTCTGATCTCCAAGGTTTGTGCCCACTACATTGACTGTTAGGCCATACACAGTGCTAGTGAAGAATGTATTTTAGTTGTTAGATTATTAATTTAGATATCAAGAGGCTGAAAATTCTCATGGTTGCAAGGATAGCAAATGAACGTGATGGGTAAGGTTGTTTGACACGTTGGGTTATGTTAGGAGAAGGCCAAAATGGTGTCACATGTTACAAGTTGTGTCGTTGGTTTCCTGGTGCACTATCTCCTGTGATATTTATTCTCTTAAGCTGTTCAATTTTCAGTTGTATGAAGTTGAAAAGAGCCAGATTGGTGTTCTGTTAGCTCCTTTGTAGTGAATTAGTGATCGCTTAGGTTAGTATGTAAAACATGAATTATGCAGAATTTTACACTGAAGTTGCTTGCTGTGAATTTGGGGTTTATAAGTGCCATTGGACATTTCTAAAGAAGTTCAATATTCTAGTTTACACTATGGTTAACTTATATTCTGCAATGAAGTAAGATTTTTTTTTTTTGAGGAAATGAAGTAAGATTATTTGTAAGAAACTTCCTTTTAATCAGGAATGACGTTGTAAGATTATTTGTAAGCAACTTCCTTGTAATCAGGAATGACGTTCGCATATGTCCACTTCGATGCATTCCAAGTTCTAACTTAGATTAGTCCTTGGTATAGGGATTTTAGAGAAAATCAAAGATTCAATTCAACTTTTTTTTCTTGGCTATGTAGGTAACCCTTGAAGTGAAGGGTGAAACCCAGATATTGAACTTGGCAGAAAAGCTAAAAGCTGGGGGCATTGCTCATAAACTGTGGATTGAACAACCAGAAAACATACCAACCTGTCTTGCTACAAAACCTTATCCAAAATCCCTGGTATCTTCATTTTTCAAGAAGCTAAAACTTTGTAAATGATGAATTTCAAGTGTCGTCCGTTTATGTGATACTGACACAAGTAGGCTTAGTTTCAGTGTTATGGAATTGAACCTATTTGCTAATGATGAGCTACTCTTTGTAATGATTAATATTTCTTGCTGAACCCTTTGACCTTTGCATGCGGTTCATCTTGATTTATATTTTATAATCTGGTGATTCTGTCCAGATGATTATTGGTCTTAATTTTTAGCTATTTTTGAAGCCTTATTGATTTATGCTCTTATCTTTTGGTAGTGGTGATGAACCTGTGTATTTTCTAATATGGCTTCAAAACTTTATTGCTGAGCTTCCACTCTGCTGTGTGGCTTATCCTCTTAATTATAAGGCCAACTTGTCATGTTTGGCCTGTCTCTCCAGCTCTAATCTTTTGGCAGTGGTGATTAACTTATGTATTTTCTACTGTGGCTTCACAACATTATTGTTGGGCTTCCACTCTTCTGTGCTGCCTGTCCTCTTATTTATCAGCCCAAATTGTGCGTTTGGCCTGTCTCTCCATAAGTTGTAATGAATTTTGCAATCGACCAAACTACCGGAAAATGGGTTCGTTGAAGAATGCAGTACGTAAAGAATCTAACACAACCTAGTTGGTTGAGGAACCTGGTAAGTCAAATTCCTTCAAAAAAGATCTGGGGAAATTGGTTTACGGCATTTCTTTCTGTTGGCTATGAAAGTTCTTTACCATCGAGTGAGTTATCAAAGTCATTTGCCTTCCTTGTTGTCTCTATCAGCAGTCGAGTTTCATGAAATGTTGAAAATTATTACACTATGCATCTTCTCAGATTAAAATGAAAATTCTTCAAATCTTCTGATTATTTTGTCGTTTACTGAAATAGATATACTGCTGCAGCTTTGTGGCAGTTGCTGTACACTGGTATACCGTTTATGTAGTCCTTGTTTGAAGGGCTTCCCTAGTAGTTAGAGAGATTGTCCAATTTTAAAGTCTATAAACAGGTAGTAATTGGATCATGCAATCATCTAATCAATCATGACAACAGTCAATCCAATCATTTCCATTTCAGTTCGTCCAAGCAATTCATATTACTTTTAATTACAAGCTTTATACTACTTCTCTTACCATACACTACACTTATGTTAGTTATTAGTTAAGTCCAATTCTTTCATGTCAGTTTTTACGTAACTTTCGGTATTAGGATGCTATCAAGTAGTCTAGGAATGTAATGTTGAGAGGTAGAATCTCCTTTTTCTACATTGATACTCTAATAGCAGTTGATAATCATTCAATGATATTTTGATTTATCATTTGATCTGATACATTACCATTTTTGGCCATCAACAATCCTATAAAATAAATTTCATGACCACCAGAACCTGTGGCAAATTCAAAGGGAAATATTACATGTGTATACAAATCTGATTTATACACGAATCACCAGTTTTTTTTCTCTCTCTGGTACTTCTGTACAGAGCCGTTTAAGATAAAAGCTCTAAAGCAATACAAAATAAAACCACATATATGTCCTATTCCTTTTTTTCTTTGGATTTCTTTTTTCTTAACTTTCATCCTTTTCTTTTTTTTTTCTTTTTTTTTTTGTGAAAGAATTGTATGTTCCTAAAATTTACTTATGGAATACCTTTCCGACCCATTCCCTATCGGCCATACTGTAGCATCGTGTCTGACTCTGATCTTTCACTCCAAGCATGTCCAGTTTTAAGTTCTAATTTACGCCCTGAAATTAGAATATTTCCAAAACGTTAATCAGAAAACTGTATATGATTAAGCTGCTAATGATAAATATAGTTTTATGTCACAAGCATCAGTGTCTCAACAGAAACACATAATTAGAAATCATAAAACATGATAACAACATAAAGTGATTTTGTTACAATTATATTATTGTTACTTGTTCATGTTGTTACTTTGATTTTATCATTATCATCATTTTTATTGGTTTCTGAACAAAGATATAAGTAATACTGAATGTTCCTCAAAACTGGAAACAGAATAAACTGAATGGTAACTATAATCATACAGCTACCAACGAAGATATGTATACTCGAAACAGAAATACTCACTTGGGCTCCTGCAAGGAGATGACAGTTTCAAAGGCACCAGCCAGTGCTTTCACTCTGTTCTTTCTTTGCTCTCTAAGCTTACTTGCAGTCTCTTCAATCACATTATTGGAGACCACGGATTCCTTCTTCCCTTGCACCACTTGACGTTGAGGTCTTGATGAAGCTACAATAGTATTAGTCTGCTGCACTGCTTCACGCTCCTCTTCCATTACAGTTTCCTTTCCTTGGTTTCTTCCTCCATCCTCTTCTTTCACTTCTTGAGTCTCATCCTCTACTTTTACTGTGTTATCTTCAAGATGATGTTTGTTAGGATCATTGGTAATTTCTTCTGGTTCCATAGTGTTGCTGGTGCTGGTTTCTTCAACAAGTTGTTTCTCTTCTGATTCTTCCATCTTATTGGTTTCTTGGTTCTCCAGATCTGTTTCAGCATTGATTACATTTCCATTATGCTCTTCTTGATCTTCAATGGCTGAATTGTTTTCTCCTGCATCAGAAGCAGCAGCTTCACTGTGGTCAATGATCACGTCACTTTCAGTATCAGTGACTGGCAATTCTTCATTATCTTCTTGCTCTGATAGTTCAGCCTGAGGAATAACATCCTCAGTTGCATGGAGAGAATCAGTTATTACTGATGCTTTAGGTGTTAAATCATTGTGACTATCCTGATCGTTGCTCGACTTGTATATGTCGTCTTCATCAGTTTCAGCCTGCAGAATGGCATCCTCCACAGCATGAGAAGAATTAGTTATTGATGCTTTTGGTGTTGAACTATTGTGACCATCTTGATTATTTCTTGTTTTGTGTGTGCCATTATGAATAGTCCTGCCAGCCTCCTGTTTCTTGGAGATTATGCCAGTAGTTGTGCTCTTCTTTATTGTCCCTGGTCTAGCATTCGTGCTAGTGCCACGTTGTTTACTGGTGGCATCCTTACTCATATGAGATGCTCTGGATAATCTATCCGTCGTGGGTTTCTGGGATGTTGAACTTTTGCCTGAAAACGATGAGGATGACCGAAGAATTCTCTCTTTAGGATTAGCGCTTTTTTGCAAAGTAGCAAGAGGAGGCTTATCGAATGATCTTCTTCGATCTAGAGTAGGTTTATTGTGAATGTTGAGATCACCTGATGAAGACATTGTAGGCTTGAGATAGTTGGGAACATTCTTGTTTGATGTAGTTGAATCTGCTCGCTTCCGCACCGGAGAGTTTGTAGTTGATGAATTAGGACTTCTCATATAATTAGGAATGGGATGTGATGGAGATACCCCTCTCTTCTCCTTTCCTGCTGGAGCAGTCTCCTTTGCCCTTGTTGCCATTATATTCTTTGGCTTAACTAGATTTTGAACTTGTATTTTGCTGCAAAAGAATAGTAATAAGTTAAACTTATGAAAAAGTCACCAAATGGACTTCTAATATTTGCCATCATTGAATTCAATGAAAGATAAATGCATGCATTGTTCTAACTCTTACGCCAATTTCCCCACAAATTAGAAATATTGATCCCAGAAAAAATCTTGTATATTCCTCCTTCTAACCCTTTCTTTTATAATTGTGGTGTTTGTGTCAGCTTGCACGTATCTCGACTAATTGCAGGGATATCAACCATTTCCCACCAACAACAGACATCAGGTATCAAGTAATTTTATCTACTAAAGCTAAGACATATGGGAAAACTTACCTAGTGTTCTTGTCCTATCTTTTATATTGTTCCCTTTTCCTTTTTCTTATCCTAAGTCATACCCCCCCTCCCTCGCCCCCCCCCCCCCTGTGTCAATGGCCTAAAAACCAAAAGTTTTTGCACACATTTGTTGCTCATAATTGAGAGAAACAACTACCAAATATATAAAAACAATCTCTAGGAATACATTCATGGGAAATTGCAAAAAATAAAACAAACATTTAACTTTTGGCATTTTAATGCAATATAAGGAAAATGCACATATTAAATGGGAGTCTTTGAATAAGCTGTCTACATTATACCCTTGAGGTGCGGCTCTTCCTTGAACCCTAATCCTGCATGAATGCGGAATATGTTGTGCACTGGCTAAAAAACATAATCAACAAAAGAAAACAGAAAGAAAGACAAATTAATAGCACCTTTTTAATCAAAATAGATGATCCATGACCTCCACTATATTAGATAGATAGATAGATTATTGATAGGGAAAAGAAACTTAAAAGAGAATTGTGAAGAAAAAGATTTAAAATAAATAGGAAAGAAAAGTAAAGAAAAAAAAGGTTGAAGAAATAGAGAGATTGATGAACTTGAAAAGAGTTATTTTTGGGAGTTTGGTTGTTATATTAAGTACGAAAATTATGGATAACCCAAGGTTGTGGAAGCACATAAACACAAAGATGTAATTATCATTACAGCTCATATAAAAATTATTAAATACTATAATATTACTTTGGCTATTTCACCAAGGAATGTATGTCACAATTTTATTCATTAGTCTATATGAATATTCTTTATTTAGTTTGATTATATAATCTTGTAAATTAGTAATGGGAAGCACAACATAGTATAGTGCTCTGCCTGCACTTCCTCTCACATCATAATCTAATTTTTATGTATTTATTTGTCAACCACGATCGAGATTAGGGGTGTCAAATTTGTGAGTTGGGCTAAATCTGAATAGGTCAAAATGAGTTAAGTTAGTAAATGAATCGATTAATAAGTTATGCTAGTTGAAATAGAGTTATGGACAAAGTTAGAATGAACTAAATATTAGATCATTGTAAAAATAAACAAGACCGTTAGAGGTTGTTTGGTTGGAAATAAGATATTCTAAAATTAATTTTTTTTGGAATAAGTTATTCTATCATGTATACTCCCTCTGTCCCTATTTTACTTGTCCATATTTTCTTTTATATCTGTCCTTATTTTAATTGTCCATTTTAACAAATTAAGAAAGGACAACAATTTTTTTCCTAATATGCCTTATTTAATTCTAGAAAATTTCTAGTACAACTAAGTTGTAATGCATGCTATTTGGAAGCAGAAAATACATTTATTATACTTGGAGAGTTGTATAATCTTTTAAGTTAAGCGTAAAATTGTAACTAACCTATGATAATAATTGGTGCGTTAATGGGTGTCACTTCTAAAGTGGACAACTAAAGGAAGTATGTTATAGCTTATCTCATAACTTATGTATAAATATAGTGAAATAGATAATCTCAGGACGGCCTACTTTCGAGGGCTAGAACAATTTTGGGAATTTTAGGAGCTCAATACTTGAGCTAAGCCCAATGTAACAAGAGCTTGAACAGAATAAACCATTATTTGCGTCTTGATTTTCTTTTCCTTAGGACAAATAACCAAATAAACCATAATAATGAAAATTGTATTGACTTGATATAAATACCTGGTTCGAATAAGTTTTGCCCTACGGAAGTGTTAGTAATAACTCTCATATGATAAACACTTTAATGTTTTGCTTTAAAAGTATATAACCATTTTTTATTATACTATGTATATCGATACTTATATTACCAACAACTTAGAACGAACAAGTCCTCACGTTATTAGTATTTATTCTTTAGTGGTGTATACGCAATTCAATTTTTGGGTTGGTTGGATTTGTAATATACCCAATTATATCCATATTGGAAAACCATAGTGTTTTATAATTGATTTTGTAAATCAAATTTAAATTTTATAAATACTATTATTTGAATTGATTCGAATCAATTTGATAATTAGATTTACAGTTGTCTATATGGGCTAACTTATTCCATCCAGATTAATTTATACATGCTTTGAAATTTGACGGGTCAGACGTGACTAGCCTATTTTCTGTGTGGGTCAAAAAATGATTGGCCTAATCCACAAGTAAATTGATTACGGGCTTAGTCGGGCCAGTCCTCTTTTCTTAAAACATTATTTTTTAAAATTTAAAAATGAAAAAATTGTATATAATATAGCAAACTAATAACCTAAAATAAATGGAGTAGTTAGGGTTTGATTTAATTGTGCTCCATAGCAAACGTTTGCAAAAAATTGTCAGACGCCTCTCTCCCAAATATCTCGCTCGCCACTCTCCTCCAATTTCTTGCTCCTTCCTCACTTTTATACAAACACAAGTGTATAAAAATTGTTTCTAATTGTATAAAGCAAAGAAAATTGTATAAATACATATATTTTTATTCCCCTCTTCCAGATCTCGCTCGCCACTCTCTCAAATCTGTTTTATACAAACAGAAGTGAAATGTATAAATTGTGTTTCTGTTTGTATAAAGCGTGAGAAAATTGTATATACACATGCAAGTACATATATTTTCGTCCTATACACTTATAATTATACAATAAAAATATTCCTCTGCCCAATTTCTTTTGCCTTTCTCTCTGCCCAATTTCTTTTGTCTTTCTCTCTTTCTCGTTTTATACAATTTTTAAATTGTATCTAATTTCTCTCTTTCTCGTTTTATACAATTCGATTTAATTGTATATTCCTTGTCAAGTCTCTTTTGTCTTTCTCTCCTTCTCACTTTATACAAATTCAAATTGTGTATAATCGTTTTATACACTTATAATAATACAATTCGTTTTATACAGTTCTCTGCCAAGTGTCTTTCTTCTTGTTGTTTTATACACTTTGTTTTATACAATTTGCTTCAACTGTATATGTATAACGTATGATTGTTATAAAGCGTAATTATGCAAACTTTTCTATAAAATACAAATATGAATTTTTATTTGCTATATGTGAAAATTACTCTTTAAAAATATTATCATAAATATCGACAAGACAATATTACATGGTGTTAGTGTTACTACTTGTTAATCAATATACACAAATAAATTATCTTTATGATATTTATTAAGTTTAATTTCAAGCAAAAACATCAATAGCTAAATTAAAATATTAACACAATTATTTTTCAATGATCATAATAAAACACGAAAACTATGACATTAGTTCATATGGAATGACCCATGTAGTGATTTCCTAGAAATTTTAAAGAACTTTTATTTTATGTAGTACATATTTTATAAATATAATTTGTATTTAAATTGTAATATTTCAAACTTTAAACAGATTTTAAGTTTAGACACTTGTTATTTTTAATGTTCTATTTTATTTTTATTTTTTTAATTAATTTTTATTTGCCTCACGAATTGGCTCCAAAATCATAATTTAATCCTATCAAACCATGGGTTAAAACATATCAATTCAAACGACCTAGCTCATATTAACTACTCTAAATTTAGGTTGAACCAATTCGTGCACATGCCTAATTTTGTTTTTGCATATTATTACCATTAATATTGTCAATTAAGTTTTCCTTTTAAAAAGAAAAGCCCCCACCAAATGCTGCCTTTTATGCTTTTTATTAATTATTATTAAGGTTGTATTAATTATTGATTGTGATTTGTTCCCCTTTTTTTTTTTTTTAATAAAGCAGTTGTCTCCCAATATGTTTGTCCTATTAATGGCCCTATATTCACGTACACAGTTATTTTTTATAAAAATAATGTTTAATGAGATTGTCATTATTATTCAGAAACAATAATAATGTTTTAAAAAATAATTTTTCCTTTCGTATTGAATACACCCTAAATACAATAGGGGATTTAGAAGAAATGTATATCTTATCCTTACCTCATAAAGGTAACAAAAGAGAACTAATAAACTTTTTTTGAAGATTTCCTCCGTCTTAAATTACACCTGTAACAGTATTCAACAAAAACGTAATGTCCATTTTTAGAGATGATGTTTTTAATGATTTTTCATCATACTTAAGAATTCAAATTTTGAAACTTCTGTCTAAAAATAAAGAGATTTCAATCATACCTTCATAAAATTTATTTATTTTTTAAAAAAAAAAGTGAAAATGAACAAATTAAAAAAACTTGACCTAATGGTATATTCATTGTGATTTGCACGAAGAAGATCACGAGAATCAAAAGTGAAAACAATTTAAAATAATAAAAATAAAATAAAAAGGGTGGTGACATCCATAATTCTATGAGACAATTCTCATTATTTTACATTGGGAAAGAGCAAACATAAAATTTTATTGAAATTCAATTACATACATACACAAACTTAATGTCAATCATATTATGATAAATACAATCTTTTTTTTTAATAAGAGTTTTTAAGTTTAAATTATTTTTTATATAAATATATATTTTTTTAAAAATTATTCGATACAAAAAGTTCAAATAACAAATTTTTATCGAAACGAAACCAGTCTTATAATATCTCTAACAACAAGAAGCTAAATATTTTATTTCTTACTGTTCCCCATCTCAACATCAATAACTAGACATTAATAAGTGGAATTGCATTTTAAGATCTTTAATTATAATAATCACTTTGAACAATAATTACATCATTTTGTTTCTCAACCATACCACTAACGGGTTTCCAAATTTATATATGACTAAAAGTCAAATTAAAAAATAATTGGGCTAAAACATATTAATATTATATTATACATATAAATTATAATGGATTACAATGTAATTTGTTATGGATTTTAAACTAATATACATTATTATAATTATACTATCATGTATTTTAACCTATATATTATGACATGTTAATTTTAATATTCTTCAAGTTATTAATTTCACTTCATACGAACAATTAGTTATAATTATTATTTAAGTGATTCAATAGCGTAAAAATTCTTTTATAATGTTAATATATAAATTAAAAGTTCATCTTATGTTGTCAATTTCTTAGTTGCATTATAATCATAATGCATCAAAAGACTTCGTTTCACCAACAGAAATATGGATAGAATCGTCCTCTCTTTAACCTGAGATTTCGAATTTTTTAATTCTAAATTAAAAAAAATTACTCCAAAAAATATTTTCTTCTTAGAATTATACAACATGAATTCGAACAATTCCAATATAAATATTAAACAGAATATATGAAAAATAGAAAATAAAAAATTCTTTTTTTAACTTTTTACTTCATATTCGATATTTGAATTAAAACTCAATTAGATTTAAATTTTTTCACGACTTTATCATTACCCCTTGAACCATTTTCTCTTAAAATCTATTTTAAATTGTTTTT